CCCATCTCCTCTGTGGAAGTAGATTGTTACTAAAGAGCCTCCCTGTGGGTACACCTGCTAGGTGGCACCTCATTCCCCTTCTTAGCATTGGGTTAGACATAGCAGATTAGGATGACGAGTTTGCTGTAAATGAAAACTGTCCACAAATGGCCACCATTTGCATGTCCTTCCTTGTGGACTTTGGTGGCAGGATATTTGCCAAAGTTTAGCAAAGACTGTTCTGCCCGAATCCTCAGGTTGGGACTAGGGGCAGCTGGAAACTGCAGATGTTCCTGGATCCCACTTCTGATTTAGCACGTTGGAATCTTTTGAAGTGAGCCTCGGATGCTAACTTTTTTTTTTTTTTTTTTGAGCAGTCTCGCTCTATCACCAGGCTGGAGTGCAGTGGCACAGTCTTGGCTCACTGCAACCTCCGCCTCTCAGGTTCAAGCAATTTTTCTGCCTCAGCCTACCTAGTAGCTGGGACTACAGGCATATGCCATCATGCCCAGCTAATTTTTATATTTTTAGTAGAGATGGGATTTCACCATGTTGCCCAGTATGGTCTCGATCTCTTGACCTTGTGATCCACCCACCTCAGCCTCCCAAAGTGCTGGGATTACAGGTGTCAGCTACCCTGCCCGGCTGATGCTAACATTTTTTAAACCTCTCCAGGTAACACTTATGTAGCTTGGGCACCTCTGCCTTAGAATTTTGAATTTCTGCCTTAGAAGTTTCACATTGCCATTTAGTTCCTCCCATAAATGCAGGCCTGGAAATTTTATTTCAAGGGATTACTGAGAAATTGGCCATGTTATTTGGAAGGCAGAATTTATTTCATTCTCTAATGGCTAGTTCCTTCCTCCCTGCTTCCTTCTTTCTTCCCTGTCTGTCTCTGTCTGCCTGTCTGTCTCTCTGTCTCTCTCTCTCTCTTTTGGTCATACACACACATGATAAAGCTTTTACATTTGAGTTTCTCCATGGAATTATCTTTTAAAATTTATCTATTTACTATTCGAGATAGGGTCTCACTCTGTCACGTAGACTAGAGTGCGATGGTGTGATCATAGCTCACTGTAGCCTTGAATTTCTGGGCTCAAGTGATCCTTCCGTCTCGGCCTTCCAAATAGCTGGGAATACAGCTGTGTGGCAGCACATCCAGCTAATTAAAAAACATTTTTTTTTAGACATGGGGTCTTGCTATGTTGCCCAGGCTGCTCAAGGAACTCCTGGCCTCAAGAGATCCTTCCATTTCTGCCTCCCAAAGTGCTAGGATTATAGGTGTGAGCCACGGTGCCTGGCCTGTTTTCTTCAATAGCAGAGGGAAAGTCATCTAGAAGGAATTTGACCTTGCAGATGGGGAAATAATTCAATTCTTATTTTATAGTTAGGGAAATTGAGGAACAGAGAGTTGAATAACTTGCCCAGATGGCCTGTGTGGTAGAAGTAGGATTTGAATCCTGGTAAAGCTAGTATTAAATCAGAAGCTCTAACCATGGTGGACACTGCCTTTTAGGAAGAAGGAACAGAGAGGCTACTCCTTCTCATACCTTTTGTTCCTAAGAAAGCTTCAATCACAAGCAGAGAGATCAACACTCCATCCCCAGATAGAAACATATCTATGAAGGCTGAAGAAAGTCTACATATGAACACTCTAGATCCCTTGCAACACTTCCTGGATGGAGTGCATGAGCAAACTGATCTTTGAAAGCAAACTGTCCTCTACAGACTGCAAAGTAGATAGTGCCTAGCCTGCAAATGTTTCTTTTGTTTCATGTCCTCACCATGTGTTTTAGTAATGTGAATTGGTTGTCAACATCTAAAGATTAGGAGATTTTACATAAAAACCCAGCTTTCCAACACCTCTTGAAAAGTGAACCCCATGAGGCCTGCATGCTAAGTGGTCACCATTGGAGCAGAATGATGGCCGCTTCCTTTAAACTGTGCTTTTGAAATTACCATGGTCTCCACCACTTTGTATCATCCTATAATCAGCCTACTTCATGTATGTCCTCTGCCTGACCCCTGTACTCCTCTGATTTTGTGAACCTTGGCCCTGACTCATCACACATTTCTGTAGATTGAAACCTCACCATACCATTCCCCCGTAAATAAGTCCTGGAGTTAGCCACAAAGCAAGTGCCACTTACTGGCCTTTGTTACCAGGTGTACTAGATGGGACACATTGATTTAGAGGCTGTGCAGAGTTTGGCTAGGAACACAGCCTGAAGTACCACACTATTCTGATTTGTTTGTTTGTTTATTTTGTTTTGTTTTTTGAGACAGAGTCTTTCTCTGTAGCCCAGGCTGGAGTGCAGTGATGCAATCTCAGCTCACTGCAACCTCTGCCTCCCGGGTCCCGGTTCAAGTGATTCTCCTGCCTCAGCCTCCTGAGTAGTTGGGATTACAGGTGCATGCCACTAGGCCCAGCTAATTTTTATGTATTTAGTAGAGGTGGGGTTTCACCATGTTCGTCAGACTGCTCTTGAACTTCTCACCTCGTGATCTGCCCGCCTTGGCCTCCCAAAGTGCTGGGATTACAGGCAGGAGCCACTGTGACTGGCCACTATCCTGGTTTTAAAACCTACCTTTTATACTAACTAGCTATGAGACTTTGGGCAAGTCACTAAACCCTTCTGAGCCCCGGTTTCCTCATCTGCAAAATAGGGATAATACCTATCTACCTCTTTGGGTTGTTGTGATGACTCAATGAAGATTAATTCACGTAAGAGCTTAGAACAGCACCTGACCTATGTCAAGGTCTATGTTAGTGTCAGCGGCTATTATTATAACCTACTTAGCCCAAACACTAATCTAGGCAGTATGCATTTTCACAAGTTCCCAGGAGTCAAGCCAAGGCTTGGCCTCATTCCCTTGGAACACTGTCTTTTGAGTTTGGCTCATACAAAGACTTGAATTCTATTTAATAGCATCTTGAATTATGAGGTCCTTTCCCAGTCATATTGATAATAATAGTAATAATGGGATTAATAAATCATTTGCATTTTTGTGCACCCACTAAAAAGAACAGAGACACCAGCCTACACATCCTGTGGGTCATCCATTTAACCTTTACAATAGCTTTATGACCTGGGTACTACTATTATTCCCATTTTACAGGTGAGGAAACTGAGGTTTGGGAATGTCAAACAATTGGCTGAAGGTCTCACAGTGAATAAGTGGTGGCAGGCACCTGGGTCCAGGCAGTTTTATGCCAGAACTGCACTATTAGCTCCACACTCTGTGGGCCGCCTGCTCACAAGTTCACAAGCACCTTACACTTTCTCTTAAGAATATAGTCAGGTGCATTCACATGTATTCTTCAACCATCTTTCTCTTTACAGGTCAACATCAAATTTGTCATCCTGCAGGCAAGAAACCTCGAGTTTTCTTTCATGTTTGAGTGTCGTTTTCTCTTTTCTTTGGCCAAAGCCATTGAACTTTCTTTTGTGACACTAGCTGTTTGGACATCTTCCCCTCTACTCAGCTGACACTGATTGTTCCTGGGTCTGTCTTGTCTGATAGGAAGTTGATCTACCATGACATCTGCTACTGTCTTGGTTGCCAAGGTTGGGTTGGCTGATCTGGAATGTCAAAAGAGGTCTCCTTCTTCCCTCACCCATCTGGGTGAGCCTCCTTTGTCAACCAAACGAAAGAGGTTGACCTTCTCAGCTCAATGTATGTAGGACTTTGGTCAAGGGTATAGGAGTAGCCATGCTGCTCTGGCAGAAAAGTGAAAAAATTTCTCAGCATTCTTATCTGTCTTACTAGGAATTACACGGCAAGACCCCGGGCTTGTCATTTCCAGGTCTGGGTTGTCTATCACATGACTTTGCCCACTGTCAAACCTCTGATGGAAAGTGTTATTGATTTGAGCAGATGGAGCCCATCTGAGCTGGTTAGAGAAATCACAATAAATTTGTCCCAGTCCAGAGGGATAATACATCAACAGCTTCCATCTCTCTATGAGATGAGAGCTCATGGTCAATAACAAAAATATGTGGTGACTCTTCTGCTGTTAAACTAAGAACAGTTATGCTAGCCTGATGCAAAAGCAAGTAGGATTTTATGTAGCAGATGACATGCTAGGGCACAGCAAGTAGCAATCCTAAATATCCCATTTACTGTCCTGCACTTCCCACCCTCTTACAGTTAGGTGGAATTATGTGACTGATTTCAGTCAATGTGAGCCTAAGCGGCATTTGTCGCTAGGCAGTAAAAAGCCCATGTGAAATTCTCCAGTCTTCCTCTCCCCCGCTTTTGCCTGGGGACACCTCATGTTCTAGATTTGAAGTTGGCAAACTACAGCCCACAGACAGATGCCTGTTTTTGTAAATAAAGTTTTATTGGAACACAGCCACGCCTGTTCATTTCTATATTGTCTATAGCTGCTTTTGTGCTAAAATGGCAGAGCTAAGTAGCTGTGCCAGGGACCATGATCGAGACCATATGGCCTACAAGGCTTAAAAGATTTGCTATCTGGCCCTTTACAGACAAAGTTTGTTGACTTCCGTTCTTGGTAGAGCAGCTGCAAGATGGTGGAGCTTTGTATAGCGTGGGACCCTGAGTGACTGTGTGGAGGAGAGACCTTCCACTGACCTACATGATCCATGTAATGAATCCATATTGTTGATTAAAGAAGGATCAAAACCTTCTTTCTTGATAAATGACTCAGTCTGAGGTATTTCTTTATAGCAATGCAGAATGGACTAACACACTACTTTTGTGCTACAAAGACAGAGTTGAGTAGTTGGGACTTTGTCCCTATGTCCAGAGAACGTAAGGCCAAAAATATTTACTATTCAGTCATTTTCCAAGGAAGTTCACGCACTCCTGCACTAGGAGATCCACACTGTTGATGTGTCCCTCTGGACTGGAACAAATTTATTCTGAGAACAAAACATGAAAGCCCTTTGATTTGGGGTTGTGATGGAAGCATAAACTAATCTACTCTAATAGATCTCAGTAGGCATTTGAGAAAGGACATTTGACATGGGGAGGGATTCAGAAAGCCTACTTACTTCCTTGTGAAGTGAACTGCACAAGAAATGCCGATGATGAGAAGGCCAATGATGATGGAGGCGATGGCCACCCACTTAGCATTCCGCCCAAGCCGCCTGGCTCCTTCGTAGTCTCCATCGTTGTAGCTGTTCAGAGACTGGGGGACACAAGGGAAGAGCTGGTGATGACAGACAACCCACAGGGAAAAGGATGGAGGACCTCAGCTGTCCTGGTGAAAAGGCTCTGGTGACTTTGCTCGTCTCACTGACAGGCTACTAAGCAAACAACACAGTCATCCCCTCCTCCAGGGATCCTTCCCTAAACTCTAAGGATGAGTGAACTGCCCCCTCTGTATTTCCTAATGACACTTGTCTTAGCATTTACATAATAAGATTTTGTCTCTCCCACCAGCATGTAAGTGCAATATGGGCAGGGGTCATCGTCTGTCTTTTTTCTTTTTTCTTTTTTTGGAGACAGAGTCTCACTCTGTCGCCCAGGCCAAAGTGTTGTGGCACAATCTTGTCTCATTGCAACTACCGCCTCCCAGGTTCAAGCAATTCTCCTGCCTCAGCCTCCCAAGTAGCTGGGATTATAGGCTCCTGCCACCACGTCTGGCTAATTTTTGTATTTTTAGTAGAGATGGAGTTTCAGCACATTGGCCAGGCTGGTCTCAAACTCCTGACCTCCAGTGATCCACCCACCTCAGCCTCCCAAAGTGCTGGGATTATAGGCATGAGCCACTGTGCCTAGTCGTCTGTCTTGTTCAGCACAGATACCAGTGCCCAGCACAGTACTTGCCATGTAGAAGATGCTGCATAAGTATTTGTAGCATAAAAGGACAAATAAGTATGTCTGTTTGGTTCACTAGAACAGGGGCTTGCAAATGGTGGCCCATGGGCCAAATCCAGCCTGCTGCCTGGTTTTGTAAGTAAAGCTTACTTGGAACATAGTCATACTCATTTATTTTCTATTGTCTGTGGCTATTTGATATAATTTTGTTGTAGGGCAGGTGAGCCCAACATTGTGGCCTAGCCTGGGAAGTTTTTTGGTTTCACTCAGGAAAGAATTTAAGAGTGAGCTGGTGGTAGAAGAAAGCAGCTTTAGGCCAGGAGCAGTGGGTCACACCTGTAATCCCAGCACTTTGGGGGGCTGAGGTGGTGGATCACCTGAGGTCAGAAGTTTGAGACCAGCCTGGCCAACATGGTGAAACTTCGTCTCTACTAAAAATAGAGAAAATTGGCTGAGTGTGGTGGCAGGCACCTGTAATCCCAGCTACTCGGGAGGCTGAGGCAGGAGAATCACTTGAACCTGGGAGGCCGAGGTTGTAGTGACATTGCACTTCAGAGCCTGGGCAACAAGAGTGAAACTCAGTCTCAAAAAAAAGAAAGCAGCTTTATTGAGGTGGTGGCATTAGAGTCCTGGCTGGGTTATAGCTCCATGACTGCTCCTGCAGAGCAGGGCTACCCTATAGGCAGCGTGTTGAGAGCAGCAGCTCAAGGCAGTGCTGCAGTCAGATTTATACTTACTTTTAACTATATGTAAATTAAGGGGCAGGTTGTTCAGAAATTTTTTGAAAAGGAGTGGCAGCTTCCGGGTTGTGGCCCTGGAAAGGGGTGGCAACTTCCGGGTCATTGCCCTGGAAAGGGGTGGTAACTTCAGGGTGTTGCCATCGCAATGGTAAACTCTCACGGCACCGGTGAGCATGTCTTATAGAGAGGAGCTTTGAGTGCCTCTTTGCTGTTTCAGCCAGTCTTCAGTCTGGTCTGGAGTCAAGTCCCGCCTCCTACCTCAGTTTGGATGTTTGTCCCCTCCAAATCTCATGGGGAAATGTGATCTCCAATGTTGGAGGTGGGGCCTGGTGGGAGAAGTTGGGGTCGGGAGGGGCAGACCCTCATTCATGGCCTGCGACCCTCCTTGCAGTAATGAGTGAGTTCTCACTCTGTTAGTTCACGTGAGAGCTGGTTGTTTAAAAGAGCCTGGCATCTTTCTCTTGCCATCTCTCTCTTGCCATATGACACAATTTCTTCCCCCTTGCTTTCCACGATGAGTAAAGGCTTCCTGAGTCCTCATGGGAAGAAGATGCTGTACAGCCTGCAGAACCGTGAGCCAAACAAACCTCCTTTCTTTATAAATCATTCAGCCTGAGGTATTTCTTTATAGCAGTGCAAAATGGACTGACACACTACTTTTGTGCTACAAAGACAGAGTTGAGTAGTTGGGACTTTGTCTCTCTGTCCAGAGAATGTAGGGCCTGCAGGGACAAAAATGTTTAGTATTTGGTCATTTCCCGAAGAAGTTCACCCACTCCTGCACTAGAAGATCAATCCATGAGGTCAGGGACTTTGGCTGAATTATTCATCTCCATGCCCAAGCCAAGGCTGTCATTCCCAGCTGTTAGAATGTTGAAATACTTTGTACCCGCTGATAAACAGCAGCTACTCTGAAGCTTGGCCCCCTTCCCCAATATCCCAGCCATCCTGCTTGCTCCTCTGCATTTCCCCAGGTTTCCCCATGATCCAGCAACGTAAGGGTTATTACTGGGCTCAGCAGTCATAGCCCTGATTCTGTGATTCTCTGATTCTGTGCTCATGCCAAACTTGTTAAATATTTAAATATCATCCTTGTTGCTAGTACTCAGAGTGGTGTCTGGCACATTGAGCTCAAGAAATATGTTATTGACTCAATCAGTGAATGAGTATGTCTGTTTCCCCACAGAATGTGAATTTTTTGAGGGCATCTTTGAGTTCTGTAGGACCTAGTACAGTGCCAGGCAAAGAAGAGGTATTCAGAGACTGCTTGCTCCTGAGATGAAGGTCAGATACTGTTCTCCCTTTAATAATAAGCCCTCTTGACCAATTGACATCATGTGCCTTCTGATAAAATGCCCTGGCAAGGACATTTTACCCATGTAGTTTTCTTTTCTGAGACAGAGTCTTGCTCTGTCACCCAGGCTGGAGTGCTGTGGCGTGATCTCAGCTCACTGTAATCTCTGCCTCCTGGGTTCAAGCCATTCTCCTGCCTCAGCCTCCCGAGTAGCTGGGACTAAAGGTATGTGCCACCACGCCCAGCTAATTTTTGTATTTTTAACAGTGATGGAGTTTCACCATGTTGGCCAGGCTGGTCTCGAACTTCTGGCCTCAAGCAATCCATTTGCCTCAGCCTCCCAGAGTGTTGGGATTACAGGCATGAGCCACTGCACCAGCCCTATGTAGTTATCTCAATATATTTCACTTTTTTCTGATTAAAAGGGAATAATAGGGTAAGTTCTATTTGAGTAATTTTCTGCAAGGCAAATGGCTTGAAATTATTTTTAAAAAGTCACTGTCATGAAAGACATGCACTCCCACCCACCCACCCACTTCAGGAGACTCTCCTAGATTAAGGAAAACTAGATAAACCTAACAATTATATGCAATATATGATCCTTGATCATGTCTGGGATTAACAAATAAGTTGCAATGACAGATATCATTGGGACAATTGCGGAAATTCGAAGGTAGAGGAAATGTCAGATAATAATGTCAAATTTCTTGAGTGTGATACTTGTATTTTGGTTACATAAGATTTTTTTTTTCTATCAGAAGATACAGGCTGCATTATCTAGAACTGACATTATTGCAACCTACACCCAAATTTTCAGCAAAATAAAAATAAAAATGGCAAAAAATGTTAACTAGTGATGCATTGTGGTGATTATATAGGTCATTGTGCTATCTGCTTGCATATGTTTGAGGTCTGCAATTTTTCAAAATAAAAAGAGCACACAGTTTTGAAAAATAAACTCTCTTTATCATCCCACAGCTAATAGTCACCCAATAGTCATGCTCTAGCCCAAAGAAGACTGGAAATACGCATTTAAAAGTTATGCATGCGAACACCTGTAGTCTAAGATACTCAGGAGGCTGAGATGGCAGGATCACCTGAGCCCATGAGTTTGAGGCTGCAGAGAGCTACAATCATGCTACTGCCCTTCAGCCTGGGCGACAGAGTGAGACCCTGTATCAAAAAACAAAAACAGTTATATACTGGACTCCAGCAGTGCTGTGAATTATAGATTTCACTGAGAACCTCTTCCTTGATTCTGAAATCACAGCACTTCAGTAATAATTGCTCCTCTTCCTGGACTATTAAGAGGGATTAGACGTATGCAGACAATCACAAGCCAGAGAAATACCCAGTATACCACAGAGCTTTCTGCTTCCAGAACCTTCCATTAATTCTTGGATTGGGGCCACCTTAGTCAGCAACAGACTGGAAGACTCACCAATGTAGAGGAACTGCTTTCAGGCCTCTTGTGTGAATGAGAGAGCGAGAACCGAAAACAACCTGAGGGATTTCCAGCAAGGTAAGTTCCCGAATTCCAAGTCATGAATTCTGGGAGCTCGCCATCTTGGGTGTTCATTAGAGCCACCTGGGTCATAAAAAAAAAAAAAAATACAGAGAACCAGGCCCTACCATGGAGAGATTCTGATTTAACTGGTGTGTGGACCAGGCCGCACTTGTTTTGTGTGTGTGACTTTTTCGTTGTGGTAAAATATACCTACAATTTATGCTTTTAAGCATTTTTACATACACTGTTCAATGTTCATTACGTACATTCACATTGTTATATAACCATGACCACCATCTATCTCTGGAATTTTCATCTTCCCCAATGGAAACTCAATACCTGTTAAATACTCACTCCCATTCACCCTTTCCCTAGCCCCGGACAACCACAGTTCTTTCTGACTCTATAAATTTGACTATTTTGGGTATCTCATACAAGCAAAAGTATGTAGTATTTGCTTTTTTTGGGGATTGGATTCTTTTACTTGGACATAATAATGTCGTCAAAGTTCATCCATGTTACAGCATGTGTCAGAATTTTTTCCCCTTTTAAAGATGAACAATACTCCATTGCAGGGATATATACAATATTCCATTTTAGGGATATATTGCATTTTGTTTACCCCTTCAGCTGTTGATAGACACTTGGTTTGCTCCTGCATTGCTATTATTATTATTATTATTTCTTTTTGAGATGGAGTCTCATTCTGTCACCCAGGTTGGAGTGCAGTGGCACAATCTTGGCTCACTGCAGCCTCGACCTCCTGGACTCAAGTAATCCTTCCACCTCAGCCTCCTGAGTAGCTGGGACTACAGGCACATGCCACC